ATTCATCCAGTTCCCTTTTTGAAGTAGGACTATTGCCAGAGTGCTTGATCAGAGGAGTAGCTTCTCCACAGCCCTGGAACTGTTACTCAGCTGGAAGAAAGTAACACATTTTGAGAACCCCTCTTGGAGGCCATCAGACAGTTAAATTGTTTCCTTCCACAAGTGTCACTTCCCTCTTTAGCAGCTTGACCTCCTTCAGAGAGAGGCTTGGAGAAGTTGTTACTGTGCTACCTTCCTCAGTATGCATACAAAGTATCCGCTTCAACTCTACATTCCCTTTAAGTAGGCTTTGTGCTGAGCAGTCCGTGTGCCCTACGCAGTAATAAGAAAACATGTGGCTTACTGAAAGCCATCCAAGAAAATACTGAACTGAAACTGGTGCCTGGAAGCAGAATGACTTTTCAATTCCTGAGGGTGTTAGGACAGATGACTGAAGCTTTGGTTGAAATGTTTAGGAACCGGTTCACCTCTCCCCTTCCATGGAAGTGTTTCATATGTAATTACTTAGCTTTCACGGATCAAACATCTGCTCAGCTTTGCTGCTTTCTTGAGGAGGTTGTGGTTAGTTGGAAGCGCAGCAAAGCTAGGTGGTGCTGGCAATTCAGAGAGTATTCTTAGTATGTAATCGGGCTTCTCTGGAAATCATTAATATAAAGAGTCACAGTAAACTGGAAAATTTTGAACATGTATTATTAGAAGGAACCCCTAAGATTTCTCTCTCTGAAAAAGTGTAGTCATTAACAGTCATCTCTGTCCAGTTGATGATACGTTGTGTGGACAGTTTCACTGTTGGTCGTTCTCACACACTATTCTCACACACTGCTCACGTGCCTGCAGTTTTAGCCCAGACTCTCCAAGAGGGTGTTTAGTTGTCACCGCAGCAGCAAAGCTCCTCCTTTTTTTACCTGTCAAGAACTGGCCTGTGCTGTTTTATAACCATGCTGGGTAAGGGTTCACACTGCCATATTTGACTATCCAGGTCTAAACCTTACAAAAGTGACTAGTGATTTGGGGGGCTTCACATTTTCGGTGCCCCCAAATTGAGACCCCTTAAAAGGTACCTTATTTTCAGAAAGTTCTAAGCACCCACTCTCTGAATATATGACCCCTTTTCTTAATGTGGGCACCCAAAAATCCAGGTATTCAAAAGCATTAATTGCTTCTTAAAATCTTGGCCATGTGGTTATTGTCTAGAGGTGAATTGGACTCAGACTGGTATTGATATTCTGTACAATAAACGGACAGTGAATAATTGTAAAGATAAGCTTGGATCTATGAAAACTATGGATCTATCTAATTGCTACTATCACAGAAAGAATTACAGATAAGCTGCCTATAAGACTTTCAACCCTGTGCTTGTTGTTACACGATCTTTTTGCAGTCTACTAGAATAAAAAGCACTTGAACTTTTCCTGGCATATAAAACTTTGTCTTCTGTTATGTCAAGGTTCTGACATTCTACATTGGCTCATTCCCAAAGTGTGTTGAAGTCTAACCGGTTAAAAATAAACATTTGATAAAAATATGCAGGCAGGAAAGGCATTTGGCAAGAATTTAAAGCGGATTCCTCCCTCCCCCCCCACTTGTTCTGTTACTCATGACCTGTCAGATATAGGGATAGACTTCCAAAATGCATGTCCATTTTTGTGTGCACAGGTCATGATTTATGCTCTAATGCACTGGCTCTCAACCTTTCCAGATTCCTGTACCCCTTTCAGGAGTCTGATTTGTCTTGTGTACCCCCAAGTCTCACCTCACTTAAAAACTACATGCTTACAAAATCAGACATAAAAATTCAAGTGTCTCAGCACACTGTTACTGAAAAATTGCTGATTTTCTCATTTTTACCATATAATTATAAAAGAAATCCATTGAAATATAAATTTTGTACTTACATTTCAGTGTATAATACACCACTACCCCGATATAACGCTGTCCTCGGGAGCCAAAAAATCTTACCGTGTTATAGGTGAAACCACGTTATATCAAACTTGCTTTGATCCACCGGAGCATGCAGCCCCACCACCCCGGAGAGCTGCTTTACTGCGTTATATCTGAATTTGTGTTATATTGGGTCGCGTTATATTGGGGTAGAGGTGTATATAGACCAGTATGCACAAGTCAGTCTGTATGAAATTTTAGTTTGTACTGACTTCGTTAGTGCTTTTTATGTAGCCTATTGTAAAACTAGGCAAATATCTAGATGAGTTGATGTACCCCCTGGAAGACCTCTGCGTAACCCCAGGGGTACGTGTACCCCTGGTTGAAAACCACTGAATGCATATGCACACATACCTTCGAAAAAATCTGGCCCATGAAGTACAGCCCAGGAAACTGATGTGCCTTCATAAAGGTTTCTATGACATCACAAACTGCTCTTTGCTGTTATAGTTACCAAACAGTCATCCGAACCCTATGAGTCGGAGTGGGTGGAGAGGAGGCCTTAGATATAATGAAAGTAACTTCCAAGTCTAAGTTGGAGTCATACGATCACAGGAATAGTGATATCAAACAAGCTTTACAGAGAATAACTACAGTAGAGAAGTCATTTTTCTTTTAAGATCAGGAATGTAAGTTGCTGTTGATAAAGGGAAAAGTGTAGAGTATGTTTCTGTGTGCTGCTTAATACCCTTTGAAGAAAAGGTAAGCTTTTTTTAATTCCACCATACATTGTTCTGTATTTAAATTGAAAAATGCCATTGATATGCTATCAAATGACTAAGATACAGTAAGTGGCTCCATGCTATTGAAAGGGAGATGTCCGATTCCATACATGGGTTGTTTTGTGAATAGTATGGATAATTAATATGCTTAAAAATCCACAGACCATCTAACCATGTTGGCACATATAGGGCCTGAATGATCACTCTTCCCAGATCTATATAGATAATTTGGCTCCTGTTTGTTTCTAACTCTATTCGCGTGATGTCCTGTTTTGGTAATGTGGGGGTGATAGTGGAAGCTTCTAACAGACAATAAAAGGGAAATTCCCTCCACCACCACTTTACACATATTTCTGCACCGGTCATCTTGATGGAAAAATGACTGTTATACTTCATCGAATACATTTCTCTGACCAAAACCAAGTAGTTGAGAGAGCTGCTTATCTTCAGCAGATCCTAACCTGAAAGAAGCGGCTTAATAAACAGCACAGATTTGGCAAGGGACTTGTGGCTGGGAACAGCTGCCTGCTGCAGAAGACAGAGGTGCTTTGGATTGCAGTGACACCGCTTTGCTGGGGTTTTCTAGTGGAAGTTGCAACAGATATGTTAAGCGCTAGGAAACTAGCCAGGCTACTGACAGTTCCCCCACCCCCAAGCTTTAGCAAGAAGCAATTAGCAAGTGTGAATTTTCCTTCCTGGTAAATTCTAGTGTGGTTTTCTGATTTCCTATCCTGGTATGACTTTTAGCCTACCTTTTTCCAGGACAGTTTTTACGTGTAATTTTATCTGTCTCTGAATTTAGTTCCAATCCTCTACTTGGTCATTTATCCCCTCCATAAGGATATGTTTACAAATTATTAAATATCTTGGGCTGACTTTGCTGTTTATGGCAGGGAGCGTATGGGACTGGACAGCAGCTGAGGAAAATGGAGCAGGGAAAGAAAGCACAAAGCTAAAAGTAAAACTGCAGGTTTATATTTAGCTACAGGCTGCAGCCCTGTTGGTTAGGCTGCTGTGATCGCTACTTTAAACATGTTCCTGGCTAGTTAATCTTTATGGCTCTCCGCTACTTTGGGAAACCAGCTGAACAGCTACAGATAACTAGTGGTGTTGTAGCTGCTGCATTTTTCATTTTCCGGTGCATATTCATCTTGCCGTATGCAGTTTTGAAAATCTTGGTACCTAGCTGAGTGCTCAGAAACTAATCCATTTTATTAAACTGACTTTAAATAATGGGTCTCCTTTCTAATTAAGTGAGAAATTGAAGGAGACTTTATTGGGTACTTTGCCGATATTATAGTCTATATATGGGCAGAAGGCATTGTGAATGTGTAGTGACTTGCGCAATCAACTCAAATTCCAGGCTAGTTTGTATTTGTATTATTATTTATAGGAAGAAGGTCATATTTCCCTTTGGAACCACAGTAGTAAATTTTGGGGTGATATTTTCTCTTGTTTCTTAGAGCCCTGAATCTTGACTGCAGGGAAGGGACTACTGCCACTTGAACAATGCATACAAGTAAGGAGGAAGAGCTGGAAAGCAATGCATTTTACAGGTAAGTAGCAGTTTTGGTATTTTATAGTTTGTGTGTATAAACACGTAACATAAAAACATGTGTGAATGCATAGGGTTTGTCTGACTAGAGAAACATGGCATATTTCACTCTACATCCCTTTTCTTGCATTATAGTGAAAATTGAGTAGCTCCGTATTAATTTTAGAGGGTACCTATATATTCTGAATACGTAATTGAATGAGATACTAAAATGCCCAGTCACTGGCCTGAGCACCCATTCTGAGGTCTTGGCAAGAAGGATAATGAAAGGCAGAGGGAGAATGAGTCCTACTTCCAGGCCATAGAGTTGCTGGGAGATGCTCCCTTGGAAGCTAATGTAGCCCAGTGGCTGAAACATTTGGGTACGTCTGCATTGCAATAAGCTGCGGTACTGAGTCACAGCCTGGGTCAATTGGCCCCGGGCTCTTGGGGCTCGGGCCGCATAGCTAACAATAGCAGTGGAGGCGTTCAGACTCGGGCTGGAGGCCAGGCTTCCCCTTCGTGGGCTTTCAGAGGCCAGGCTCCAGCCCGAGCCCAAACATCTGCACTTCAGTTGTTAGCACCACAGCCTGAGTCAGCTGACCTGGGCCAGCCACATTCTTTTATTGAGGTATAGGCGCTCAGAGAGGACTCTGCACTCCCCTTCCTGCCTTTTCATGCAGCGGCGCATGCGCCTCCTGTGGCCTGCACGTTAGCACTCAGCAAAGGAACTACACTCCACCCAGGGGCCAGAGCCCAGCCGCACTGGTTGTGCTCTCAAGGGACCCTTGAGGAAAGGCTTTGCCCCTAAATTTGTATCTACTCACAGGACAAAGTCAGCTTCAAATGCATACGAGTTATTCGGCTGTGTTGTTCATGAATCCTTCTTGGCACTGGGGCTGCAGGCAGCTGAATGCAGATTCTGCATCACCAGCAAGGGCACAGAGTGGGATCTAAATATATATTTGGGGAGTGTTAGAGGGTCCTCTATGGGCTGATTTTAACACAACAACTTACTTATCAGTCCCCTCTCTCCCACTCCCTGCCCAACCCCACCTCCAAAAATACCCCTCGAGGTTATACTACAGCAACCGTAACTTTAAGTCTTTAAATCAAGATTTGAGGACTTCAGTAATTCAGCCAGAGGCTATGGGCCTATTGCAGGAGTGGATGGGTGAGGTTCCGTGGCCTGCCGTGTTCAAGAGGTCAGACTAGATGATCATGATGGTTCCTTCCGGCCTTAAAGTCTTTGAGTCTATCAACACTGCTCCTACCTGTATTTGGCCAAAGGGGTTGCAGAAAAGCAATGCATGTGCTGCTTCTGCTAAGTCACAGCTAAGAGGCTTGAGCCAATAATTGCACTCTGTTTTCTGTCTCAGTATTGCAGAGCGTTAGAGACCAATCCTGTGTTGAAGCAAAGCAGAATCCCTCCGATTCATAAAAGAAGAATATGTTAAATTTATTGTTAAATGTCTATGACTAAATGTAAGCCAGCAGCCTGTCTTGTTCACCCTAAACTCATTCACGCAACAAATAACCATCTCTTACCACAGTTGGAGGATTTTGAAATGCTGTGAATGTTTCCACCCTATCTGTCCTTCACCACCCAGTCAGGACGGATAGCCCATATGCTATTTTAGGAAGATATTTCCTTGTTAGGAGCATTGCAGGTGGGCTGATATTGTTATCGAACCTATCACTTTCCTGACACGCTCCCTGTTGTGTACAAAAATTAGACTGTTAACAATTTCTCTCCTTAAAGATAAATTAATGGGCCATGTAGTATTCAATGATTTTAGTGAATGATACATTGGGATGCACCTGCAGCCCTTACGCAGTCCTCTTAGAGTTTGCCTAACTAGATTTTTAACCCATTATGTGTGTATCAAATCCCCGAACATCTTACACTAGTAATCATGCAAATACAGTGAACTTTGGTACCCTCATGTACATACTTTGAATTGTCCTACCTTATAAACAGCAGAGCTGGCAATAGTCATGGGATAACATTCCTTTGCAGCTTAACACTGCCATTATTAATTTTGTTTGTGGTGGTGAATTGTTTGGGGTGGGACCTATCAGACACATTTTTAAACCATGTGTACATCTCCTGGTATTCTCCACTGAATAATGAAAAATCTAGTTGGATGACTTGTGTGGAAAGAGTTCATGTGAGCCGAGTGGCTTTCTTTGTGTTACGTTTGCAGAAAACAACATTGTTAGTTACTTACGCATTTATTCATAAAGACAGCTCAGAGGCATTGTAGGAACATGTCATCCTCTCTGCCTGATGACAAGCCTGCTTTGCCACATGGTGGGTTTCTGATATCACATTAAGCAGCTTTAAGGAAATAAACTATTGGTGTCCATGCTCTTAGAACTCTGCTATTTTTCACAAAAAGTAATAGTTTATTATAATTTCCTTTCTGTTTTCAAAGGATTATACTAGCATGGGTGTATTAATATGCGTTCAGCCTGCTTTATATTTTTCTCTTAGATTACAAACGTGAAACAAGTTTATTTGTGTTTTGCATGAGCTAATTCTTCCCCTCCCTAGATTTAAGTAGTCTCGTTGTGTACAAAGCCCAGAATGTTTGCAGGATTTATTGAAGTCATGGGAAAACATGCTGGGCGTACCTTCTTTTGAGCAAACCTTAGTTCTCAATACCTGTTCCTAGGAATAGAGTTTAAAAGTGCATAGCTTGGCTCTGAGATAACTAGAACTAGAAAATAATAATTTATTATAAAATTCAGTTTGGCAGTCTTGCTTAGTCTCTTCTTCCAACACCTGTATTAAAGAGTGAAAGGAATGGAGCTGGGCTTGGATATTCATTCCACTTCTTTTAGTTGTGCTTCCTCTACTGTTAATCTGATTTCTCATTTTGTGTGGCCAATATTGCAGGTTAGATCTGCCCATTTTAAAGTACCAAACATTCCAGAAGGGTGTACTAACAGAATGGGATTGTTCAGTGTGATGATGCATGTGCACATCGTAAACAAGCAAAACGAGAGCAGCAGTGATGCCTGAGATGAAACTGAAGTATTTGAAAGCCATCATTATTTTGTAATCTACAGGCAAATTAATAGGGAGTGAGAGGTAGTGTGGTCTAGTAGATGGGCTGTTGGATTGGGAGTCAGGAGATGTGGGTTCTAATCCTGGCTCTGCCACTGACCCTGCTTTGTGACCTTGTCAAGTCACTTCATCCATCTCTTTCCTCACTCCCATCGGGTCTTGTCTATTTACAGTGTAGGTTCTTTGGGAGAAGGATTGTCTCTCACACCGTGTCTATACAGCACCTAGCACAATGCAGCCCTGGTCGTCTAGGTGCTACTGTAACAGAGATAATAAGTGGGAGTCGATAACATTTGATTTTGGGTTTCTTTTCTAGTGCTATATCTTACAGCGTGGTTCCCAGGCAACGTATTAGTAGGCCTATGGGTACCGGTTCAGTCGGATTACTCATGCCCCATTTGAGACGTAGCTGTGGAAGTTGTTGAGCTAGCCCTTGTGACGGGATGACCTATATTCAAACTGTGGGGTCATAATTAAAATAGGACATCTGACGTTAAAATCATGTGATACTTTCACAGCGTGTAATTGGATCCTCTGACTGAAAGCTCTGACTTAGGCTGCTCTGGCTGTAACACGGAATTTGCTCTTCAGTTGGAATGGGGGGAAATGAGTAAGAGTGACGACATACTTTATTTGTGAGGACCTATGACACATAAGTGGACCAGGGACTGCCATTATACCTATTGGGCTGCTAACCAAAAGTGCTAGTATTCTATTAGTTAAGCAGCTGCATCGGAATGATGTTTTGCCAGGAATAAAGGACAGAAACAGCATTTTGCTTTTGGTGAGAATGCGCTGGCTGCACACTAATCAACTAGAAAAGAAACCTATTTTTAAAAATACAATCTTACTGGAGACTACATTTTGCTTTTTCTAAACTAATAAAAATTAATCTTGGTGATTTTAAAAAGATGATGGGTTTGAAACAATGCAGAATAAATTCATCACCTGTCAAACAGGGGGCCATAACCACTCCCTTAAAATGGCAAAGCTCTTCCCGGAGTGGACCACAAGGTGTTGGATATTTTCCTCTTTTTGTCTGTCCTCAAGCTTACACATACAAATATGTGTGTCCATAATACTGTTAAGGTTTTTCCAACTAGCAACACAGGTGAGATTTCCCTTGCACTGCACGCCACCAAAAGCAGACATTTCAGTTACCTTTTGAAACATCTGCTTGAGATACATGAGTAGTAGCAAACTGGCAAATTAAATAGCTTATACAAAACGTGAAAAAAATAATTAGTAAAATGCTAGG